GAGACAGAGGGGGAGGGAGAGGGGAGGGGGAGGGGGAGAGAGAACTGCTGAGCTGTGCGTACTTTAAAGAGCTAATGCAGAGGCCTGCCCATTAGCTCAGCTGTTTAAGGGACTGCTTAAACAAAGCAATCAGGATGCTGTGGTTCCATCCCCAGATCCTCAAGCCTTACCACACCTGTCCTGAAGGCATCCTGAGCCAACCAAAAAATAAAAATAAAAAATAAAGAGCTAAGGCTTGCCTGTGCTACAGCTCTAACAGTAATACCTGAAAAGGCTCCAGTCTCGTCACGTTACTTATTCCCTTCCATGTTGGAGTGTCATTAGGAAAGCAAGATTTACGAAAAAGCAAAGTTTCTGTAACTGATGATTCTCTAAATTATATGTAAAAAAGTACAAACTTAACCCAACATTCCTAAATCAAGTGTTAGGTTCCAGACTGACTTTTTTCTTGCTTAGTTTCAGAGCTGCCGTCATGAAGACAGCTACACATCGCCATCTGTGACGAGGAGTAAGGCACATCAGCGGTTTCACAGCTGCAAGCGGCACCCGAAGTCCTCTACCTGACTGTGGAATCCGACGATCCAGTCACCGTAACCCTCTCGTCATACTGGAGACACAGCACCGAACCTGTGTGGCCCGTGAGAATCCGCCTGCACTCCAACGTGCTTTTATCCCAGATCTAGGATGACAAACAAGATCTGATCACCGTGACAAAGGGGTCTGTGGAGACTCCTTGGCTCTATTAAGCATCTGACTCCAACCCTCAATCAAAGTGCGGGGCAGCGAGAAATGCATTCCATGCTGCACGTACGGTTAAGCACCTCTACACACGTAGCTGCGTTTTCTAAGCGTATTTAGTACAGGGGCTACAGGGTTTCACCACACAGGTAGGACTGCTAGTGATCCTCCTGTTTTCAGCCTCCCAAGCGCTGGGGTGACAGGCAAGCGCCGCCATGCTCAGTCTCAGTCGCCCTGGGGGCGGGGCCGGCATAGCAGCCAAGGATCGAACCCGGGTCCCTGTGCCTGCCTAAGAAGGTGCTTGAGTCTGCTGAGCTATCTGGCCAGCCTGGCTTTAGTTCTAATGCAAACTTTATTCTTTTCATTAAGCAACAAGGGCAGCCTATAGTTATACAAAAAATTCTTCCTTAGCCTATAAATGATATAACCATGTACAATGTTGGAGCTCCTGTAGGGTACTCCACAAACCCTGCTAAATGTTAAATGTTGATAAATCCAAGAAGTTATACCTTCTCAGTGTACTCCAAGAAGGGAAGTTAATCCTGAGACTATTCATTTGTATGTTTACATGGGAAGAAGAGATGGTAGTCTCTTTAGAAGAAACCTTGGAACTGTAACCAACCTAAAAGTCTCACTTTCTGGAGATAATGCTTAGGGCGTATGATGCAGACTGCTTTAAGAATGTGGTCACTATTGGTCCCTTAGCTGTCTCCCACTAAAGAGACCCTACCTTGATTGTGTTGTCTCGAAGGCCGCTTACTATTTTCTGGTCATCATACTGTAAACAGTAAACTCCTTTGCTTGTTTCGCTTCTGCAGTGGATTCTCTGTAAACTATGTCTTCCACATCTCCAATTAGATTCTATGGTCTGAGAAGCATTAATGGTGAAGAGGCAGGTAATCAGGAATGGACCCAAGCCAAACTCTGACATCAGTGGTAACCAATGGCTCAACGCAGGAATCTATGGGACATACTGAACTGCTAGGCATGCAGAAAGGTTGTGCGCTTGGTGCTCGCCTCATAAACGTGGTGACCCCTGGACTTCCACGCAAGCTCCTTTTAGAAGACAGCTGAACGGCAGTGTAGGAGCACAAATTCAATGGTCTTACTGCTGTAGTAAGAAAGGCAATGTCTTTCTCTTTTGCTTTCTCACCTGCTATCAAAAACCAGTGTTTTTTTTTTTAAAGCTCTACAAAATTTGCTTGGCAATTTACTGCATTTCACCTACCCTATTCATTTGTGAAGATACTGATTTTTAACACTTATTAGTAAACCTTAGTGGATTTGCTGTAACAATGCTGAAACATGAATGCTAACGATTCTCTATTTGGCAAATAACCCCCAAAACAGAGAGTCTTACCTCAATGTCTTGTATAATTTTAGGATAAAGTGCTCTATAAAAAGAGTTGGGAGGAGCACTGCCGTCAGGAGGTTTGTTTTTGGATAAATACTGTCCCCTGAAGAAATAAAACAAACAAGTATTTCCCAATGAAAACCATAGCACTGTACATTTACAAGGAGCTCTACATTTCTTTAAAGTATTTCAGTTTCTAATCCATATCACCTCCATGAAAACCCTGGAGAGTTGTGAGGATAAGTCTGATTTTGGGAGTCTCCTGTCAAACAGTAACTTTCTGAGCTCTAAGGAATTTGACATTGATTTGCTTTTAGGTATAACATGAATATTTTTAGTGTAAAACATCAGACTCCCAAGCCTTCTGGGATATTATAATGTCAACATACAGAACCTAGGGGCCGGGAAGATAGCTCATGGGGCTGGGGAGATGGCTCAGTAGAATAAGCGCTTCTCTGGCCAGAGCAAGGGCCTGAGTTCAATCCCCGGTTCCGGGGTGGGGCGGGGGGGACCGTTCAGAACATGCTTGATCAGAATTCACTTCCTGGTCTGCTAGGCTACTGTACAGATTCACTGGCTTTATCTTTTGGAAACTCAGTGAATGTCAGCTATTACTTTTGACTTGGTACAGGCTCTAGAATTTTTTCTTTCCTTGAGTCAAGCTGTGCCAGTGTCAGAGGAGCCAAGCACGGCAATAGCAGCCTCTGACATGGAGATCACTTCTCCAGATCTTTTATTTCATAGGGTGAGGTGCATAGCTGCCCCGTCACCCAGGCTGCTGGCAACCCATGTGGCTATGGCTGAATGGGGCATTTCAGCTCATTTCAACAGGCAGCAGAGGGAGGGAGCAGAGGAGTGTGCAGCAGCAGGAAGGGAGAAAGGTAGAAATAAAGGCCCGAGAGCACTGTGCTGTCAAGTCTAAGGTGTAGAACTGGCTTTCACAGGTATATTCCTGGCTATGCCTCCACATACACGCATTTTACTGCCTTCTCCTGATTCCAGTGAGCAGCATTTGTTAGCAGCTCCTTCCTATGACAGCACATCTCTGGAATACTCAGATCCCAAGTTAGATCTTTGCTACCACAAAAAATCAGTAAATGGCAATCACTTCCTGCTGGGTAAAAAATTTAATTCCTTGTCCTGAAGTTAAGAACTCACCGAACAGAGTGTGGAAGCCAGTAAACCCGCTGTGGGCGTTCTAACTGCTGCTATCTCTGGCAACGTGCCGTAGAGTGGAAACAGGCAAAAATGGCTCTGAGTGCCATCCTGGCACCAGAGAAGTCATGTTTCCTCTGGGCCAGTCATTTGCTCCTCCCTCTGTAGCTCTATTACAATATAATTAATTGCTCTATGTCTGCAGGAGTGCTTTTCCCTACCCTCTATCTTACACCTTGAAAATTAGTTGAGAAAATTTCCTATCAAGAAGGTAGTTGATGCTAACTTTTGTTAATACAGAAAAGAAAATCTGAAATGAAAGAAGTAAAAACTGTTCTAAAAGGAAACTAATGAAACAGGATATAATGGCAAAAAGGAAAAGGCAACTAAGCTAGCTGTGGTGGTGCTTGCCTATGACCCCTGTAACTCGGGAAGCGGAGGCAGGAGGATCCCAAGTTCAAGACCAGCATACAAAATTCAGTGAGACCCTGCCTCAAAATAAAAAGGGGGTGGGAGTGAAGGCATATGCAGCTCAGTTGTACAGCATTTGCATAACTTGTTCAAGGCCTTGGATTTCATCCCCAGCACCAGGCAAGTAGGAGAAAAACAACACAGGTTATGAAACAATTATGGGCTAAAAGTACACTTCTCTAAATAATCTCATTCTATAAAAACTTTGCAGGCAAATAACGTATAAGTCATCAGGAATTAACTCAGGACCTTGCACTTGCCAGGCAGTGCTGTGCTGCTGGGCTAAGTCACCAGCCCAATGACAGTTTTCTGAGTGAGAAAATTTTAGATGTGATTCAAAGCCCACATTTCATTATGGTTTTCTCAGTGCCCCCTCCCCCATTCCTGAGTGTGTCGGCCTTTTAGTCTCTGGCAACCATACACAGGCCTTCAGGGTCTTCTTCATGAGTGCGACGGCTACATCCTTAGGCAAGAGACCTCGCAGAAATTTCTGACCACATTCTCTACCCCACCAGCTTTAACCTAGTATCCAAATTTCTTCAAATTAAAGTTGCTACAAAAAGGAATGTGTGCGCCTTAAAAACTGGCCTCTCAGTATATTTTGAGTCAAAATCATTCATGATAGAAACTCTTTGACCATGGGGACCAATTCTACATGAAATGTCTAGTACCTGTGACAGTGTGAGCACATGATAAATGTAGACTATTAAATTCAAAATGTTATCATAAAATGTGATCTGCTGATTAAGAAAATGGACTTTCCCCAAATGGTCTGTTGTTGCACTTGTAAGAGTTCCCACTACTGAGCAGAGAGAACATGCGCAGTACCACTCAACAGAGAAAACAGCAGAGTTCATACCCTACGGGCAGACTGTCAAACCCATCTAGAAATAAAATAGCAAAGTAGAAGTTAAATCTTAAGACTCAAAGCTTTATTGGGAAGTTATAAACTTGTTTATTTTTGGTTAAAAATAAGAGACATTTTCCCAGATAGCATATGAATAAAGAGATAGCCAGAAGACTTTTACTGACACAGCAGACTTGGTAAGATAATTTCAAGGGGCTGCTGAGATGGCTCAGTGGTCTAAAACACCTACTTAGAACAAGCTCAGCAAAGCCCAGGGACCGCGGTTCAATCCCCCAGCACCACATGCCAGCCAGCCCCGCCCCCTGGGGGGCTGAGCTGGCCACAAACACACACACACACACACACACAAATAAATAAATAAATTAAAAAAAAATTCAGATCTTTAAAAAAAAAGATAATTTCAAAAGAGGAGAATGAGAGACTGATCACAAATTATCTAAAGGGAGGACAATTAACATGGAGAGATGCTGCAGGAGGCTGACTGAGATGGGCAGGGCCTTGGAAATTTCGCGGGGTGATCACAAGTTAAGAGACTACATATGGTCAGAGACAAGGGAATATAGTCAGGACATGAAGGGTACTCTAAGAGCAGCGGTGGTGCTCGCTTCAGCAGCACATATACTAAAACCGGAACGATACAGAGAGGATTACCATGGCCCCTGTGCAAGGATGACACGCAAATTCGTGAAGCGTTCCATATTTTAAAGGTATGTTTCTAAGTATGAAATTCAAAGAGAACAGATCTTTTCTTTCAGTCCTTTAATCTAGTTTCTTACACCCTTGGTCCTTTTTTTTTTCTTTCTAATGTGAAATAAGATGCTATTTAATTTTGTTCTTCCATAGCTAATATTTTTATGTATATGCTTTAATGAATTTTTTCTTTACAAGAAGAAGAAGAAAAAAAAAAAAAAAAAAAAAAAAAAAAAAAAAAGAGCAGCGGTGGCGTTCTGTGACCAAAGAGACGGGGAAGACTGCCAATTAGTACTGCGACCTGGAATATTTCTAAGATACACCTTTATATATCCTTTAAAAGTAGGGCCAGTGAGATAGCTCAGCGGTCTAAAGTGCCTGCTTAGGCAAGAGCTCAGAGACTAAAGTTTGATCCCTGGCACCACAAGACACGCCAGCCCTGCACCTTAGGTGGGCTGAGCCAGTCACAAAAATAAATAAATAAACAAATAATAGCCCAAAAGTCAGTGTATGTGTGTTTAACCATTTTTGTAACTAACATAAAAGGTCTTGGTGCTTAGAGCCAACTCTAAACAAAGTTACTTTTACCTTTGGCATTTTTTTAAAAAATGAATTTAGGGCAGGGTCTACAGATGTACAGGGTCTCACTATGTAGATTGGACTCAGTGATTTTCCTTTTTTCAGCCTCTCAAGCTCAGGGATTACAGGTGCATGTGACCATGCTCAGTCTCAGTCACTGTCTCAGCGAACTGGCAGGCGCGGGGGCAAGGCATGGCACCCCTGGGATTGAACCCGGCTGCTGTACTCTGCTTAAGGAGACACTTTTGTCCTCTGAGCTATCTGGCCAGCCCACCTTTGGCATTTTAACATCAATTATTATTATTATTTTTAAAATGTATTTGGTACAGGGTCTCACTATGCAGCTCAGACTTGTAGTGACCCTCTGCTTTCAGCTTCCCCAGTGGTGGCATTACAGGCATGTACCACCATGCTCAGCTGCCTGAGGGCGGGCTGGCGTGGCCTGTAGTACCGGGGATTGAACCCTGGTCCCTGCGCTTGCCTAAGCAGGTGCTTAGTCCACTGAGCTATCTCACCAGCCCTTAATATCCATTTTTAAGAGCTGCCCACTTCTTGTCTTCTTTTCTTTCAAAAAAGAACGTACTCAACTCCCACTGTCTGATGAAGGTTTATTGTCATTTATAGTCCAAATGGGAACAAAGTATACTGTAATAGGGAGCCAAACCATGGAGCTGAGGGAATGAATCTACTACTAAAATTTGAGGTCAGGAGTTATTTGCAGAAGAGTTCTTTTCTTTCTCCTGAGGGACAGAGAAATCTTCCCAGCTGCCCTGAAGTTTTCCCATGTAAGCAACTGCCTGCTCTATTTCTAAAGCTGGCTTTGGCCTTCTTAGCAGAATGATGGGCTCTTAAGTGTCACACAAGTTAGTGGTATCAGTTATGAAAGAGAAATTATCTTTCTACATGATAAAATAAGAAAAACATTTGTGAACAAATAATATTTTAAATAAAATAAAGAGTTAATTTCAAAGATACATGAGTGTGAACTGTATTTGTATGAAAATTCTGAGGCCAATTAATCCATATATTTGTTTTAAGCTTTCTCTTTTTTATTTAAAAAAACTTTTATTTTCCATTCTTAAGTGTTTTGTGTTTCTCTATATAAACAACTGAGAAAAGTAATTTGAAAGGTATCACTGAGCACAAATTACCATTTAAATACTGTTACCTTTATTTATGAACTATT